AGTCTCTTTGTGGCATAACCAAGCATGTTTGGATTTTATTGTCTAATTTAATTTGCAATTTCCAAAAGTCAAAAGCTAAACCTGAAACCTGAATCCAAACCTTAAAACAATAGTGTTTACACTACAAAAAATCTATTAAATTGTGACGTTTATTTATAGGGGTTATACAAAACCCCCCACTATACATTTATTTTGTGGCATTTGTGCCAATCACCACAAAATAATTCTTTTTGTGGCAGCTTATTTGTGAGGATTGTAGAAGACCCCCATTATATATTCTATTTGTGGCGCTTTTGTTCTAACCTCCACAAAATTATTCTTATTGTGGGGTTTTTTTTGTGAAAGATTTTGATAACCTCCACAAATACATTACTTTAAGCTATTTCAAAAATAGTTGATATTCAATACAATTTAAAGGCGTATACTGCTCTTTGGTCCGATCGAACGTCTTTGAAATTACATTCTTATCTTTCGTTTATCTCAATTTGCCCTGTTCCTCTAGAAGCTAAAGTAGCTCACCCAAAGGTTTATATTCCTTTTCATCCTCTTTATTTGTCACTTCTCAATATTGAGGATGTTGATTTTATTGTGGATGGAAAAATTTGTAACGACCCGGCCGGTCGTTTCGAGCAATTGCATCCGGTTTGGCAGTTTGAGGTCATGAGTAACTTTACATAGTGTATTATGACTTGCGTGCATCATCGGCTCGGGTTTTGAAGTGGTTCGGAAATGATTTTAAGGAGTGACTCTCATTTGAGAAGCTCAAAGTTGACTAATTGATCAAGATTTGACCTTTGAGTATTTGGCCTAGCTCGGATCGGAGTTTTGATGGTTCAGATAGGTCCGGATGATGTTTTCGGACTTGGGTGTATGCCCGAATTTGCATGTGAATGTTTCTTGAGGGTTCCGACATCATTTTGTGGAAGTTGGTAATTTAAAGGTTTAAAACTTTCCTAGGTTTGACTTTAAAATTATCGGGTTTAGATTTTAGTTTCGGAACTTGGAATAGGTCCGTTTCGTCATATAAAACTTACCTGCAAAATTTCGCGTCATTTAGAGTTGATTGGATATGGTTCAGATGCGTGGTTGCGATTCTATAAGTTTTCGAAGTTCATGGGGATTTTCCATATGTTTTGGCGTCCTATTCGTGATTCTAGAGGTTGTTTGGATCGCGAGAGCAAGTTCGTATTATGTTTTTGGATTGGTGTGAGTGTTTGGTTTGGAACCTCAGAGGCTCGGGTGAGTTTCGGAATGATTTTATATAATTTTTGAGTGCTGGTACTAGTTCCATCGCATTTGCGAATTAGCCCTTGCATTTGTGAAACTGGGCTGCTGGGGAAGAGTTCGCATTTGCGAAGATATTCCTCGCATTTGCGAGTGTGGGTTATATGTTTTTGCGAAGATTTCTGCCGTTTTTGCGATGGCAGCTATCTTCGCATCTGCGATATTTTGATCGCTAATGCGACTTTAGCAGAACTCCTCCTCGTTCGCTTTTGCTATGCCTTGTCCGCTTTTGCAGAGTTCGCATTTTCTAACCTCGTATAGAAAATACGACAACTACAGTCTGCATATAGCTAAGTAATTCCGAGACTTATATTCATTTTGATATATTTTGAACCCTAACCTCGATGGGAGGCGATTTTGTGGAAGGATTTTCATACCAAACTATCAGGTAAGTAATTTTAATAAACTTTCAATGCTATTTCGTGATTATACATTAGATTTAACATCAAATTCATGAGAATCTAAGGAAAAATTTGGAGATTTTGTCAAAGTTTTGAAAAATAAAAATTTGGGATTTTGAGACTCGAATTGAATTCGAATTTAAAAACAAAACACATATATGGACTCGTGGGGCTATGGGTAGTCAAGACCTATACCCTTGGACCCAGGTTTTGACCGAAAAAGATCGGGGTTGACTTTTGTTGACTTTTTAGAAATTGTGTAAAGATCACAACTTTATTAATTGAAATTGCTTTCTCTTGCATTGTGTGATGTATTTAAGTCGTCTTTAGCTAGATTGAGCCGGACGGAGGTGAACTTGTAATGGAAAAGCTAATTTGAGTATTGATTTGACCGAATTGAGGTAAGTATCTTGCCTAACTTTGTGTAGGGGAAACTACCTCTTAGGATTTGAGATAATTGTGTTATTCATGTTATCTAAAGGCCGTGTACGCGAGGTGACGAATGGTTACACGACCTATATGTGGTATTTGACCGGTTTCGAGTATCTATACACTTTCCATGCCTTTAATTGAAGTGTTATAATCTGTGATTCTTTCATCGTTAGTCTACTCTTCCATGCTTTACTTGACGTTGTAGCACTTATTTTTCCTCTTATATGTTACTGTGCATTTAAATGCTTTAGTTGAAGTTTTTGCTTTCCTTATTGTCTTGTGACCTCTTAATTATTGAGTTCCTTCCTTGACTTCGTGCTAATCTGTTACTTGTCTTTATTGTTGTAATTGCACACCTTAATGGTCATGTGCTTCACTTGTCCTGTTTTTTTTTTGTTGAGTTGTTGCGTTTCTTGATTTTTATGTAATTCTTTCATTGATGTGTACTCATACCCTATGATTGTTGAAATTCTTGCAAATTGCCTATTGGATTGTTGATGTTATTGGTTTATTTATAGATCGAATTGTACGCCACAACAAGTGGAATAAAGAAGAATTTATATTGTACGGTGGGATCAGATTGCGCGCCACAGCAGGTGAAATAAGAGTGAATTGATATGGTGAAATAAGAGAGAACTATAATATTGATGCTGATTATATGGTGGGATTGGGTTGCGCACCGCAACATATATTTGTTTATTGTTATTGATATTTACATAGTGGAATAAGGGAGGAGAGTGTTGTACGGTGGGATCGAGTTGCGTGCCGCAACAGTTTATGTGTTTGTATTCCTTATTGTATTATGTTGGCTTCAGTTTTTTCGTACGAGACTTTGAGGATTGGTATTTCTGGCTTTTACCAGTTTTCAAGGGTTGAGTTGTCATTAGTTTACTGCTTTGCTGCATTTTCTGTTTTCCTTTCCTATTACTATTATTGTGATGAATTAATTTTTAAGATGAATTTACTACGCTGCATCATTATCTCATAACCTGTTGAGTTGTTAGTAACATATCAGTTTTAAATAAAAGAATTAATAACATACTTACCTTATGTAACTCCTAAGTTAAAACTCGTCGTTTCATTTGGTACCTTACTATTTTTAATGGTCGTCATATTTCACATTAATCGATTTCTCAACTTAATCTCCTTACTATATCTGATGCTTCTACTTTATTTAAAAAGGAACTACTATTATGTTTTAGTTTATTAAATTCTATATTCACATTTGTAGCTTATCGATGTCTTATTTTATTTGAAAACATTATTCTCCTCACCTAAATATTTTTCAAATAAACTCAATTTCTTATTGATTTCCTCTTTGGTTCAGAAACTGCAATTTTACTTTATTATATATGAATAGATCCCTTGAGTATTATTTATAACATTTGACACAGATACTATGTACCTGGTAGCACGTGGATTTTGTCGTGCGAAGTGATATAAAAAATATGGGCACAAAGTACCATGTGTGTTAAAGGTTTAGGAGTTGTGATTTATGATCTGAGATTAGGAGAAGTAGGATTGTTGAAACTTGTGTATTAGGAATGATTTGATTGGTTGAGTTGTCATCGCGTTCCCTACTTGAATGCATTCATACTTCATCCGTACCCCAACTATATTGTTGCTTAATTACTTGGTTATTTCTCGTTGCCATTCGTGTTCCCCTTAACTTCACTGTTGATAGTAATTTGAATTCTTTATGTTGTTGGCCTTACATTGATATTTTTTCCTTGTTAGATTTATGCCATATCCCGCACAAGTTTACATATTCAGTAGGTGTTTTGACCTGACCTCGTCACTACTCTTCTGAGATTAGGCTTGATACTTACTGGGTACCACTGTGGTGTACTCGTGCTATTCTTCTGTATATTTTTTGTGCAGAACCAGGTACGTCAGATCAAGTTGGTTTTGAGACTTATGCTTGTGCGGCTGGAGATTTCAAGGTACACTTGCTGGACGTTTGTAGGCTCCGAAGTCATCTTCTGTTGTATTTATTTTCATTATTTTCCATTATTCCGGAACAATGGTGTATTCATTTTACATAGTTACTCTTAGAAAAGGTTATGATTTGTACTACCGGTTTTGGGGTTATGTAACTATTGTTGGTTCAACGATGTTGTTACAAATATTATTTCAAGTATGTAGTTAATTGAGTTAAAATTCCACTAATAAGCAGTAAATGTTAGGCTTACCTAATCTTAGAGACTAAGTACCATCACGACATCCTACAGAGAAAAATTGGGATCGTGACAAAATTTTACAATTATAAAGAATAGGACAGTATTAGCTAAATAGTAGAATGAGACAAAAATATATATAAATATAAGCAATAAAAATCTTATTGATGAATGTTTATATGTTTTTATGCCTGGCGAATAGTAAGAAATAACTTACCTTAAGGCTATGTACAAAATATAGGCTCGAAGTCAAGTATAAATCATTGTTGTGAAATAATACGCTTTAGATTTACCGTAAACAACATGTTATGTGAGGTAACGACCATACGTCAGGCACGCGACATTTACCTAAAAGAAATTTAAGTTTTATAATTATATACAATAATTTTTGTCTTATCATTTTATTTGAGATAATTTAAATTTTGAAAGGATATAAATAATACTAACAAAACTAAGCACTTGAATTTTTGTTATTTTCATCATACCGATTAAAATATTGTTACATTTATCTAATATAGAGATTTAGCAATTTTATTGATGCCAAAAATATTTTTGTTATTTAAAAAAAAATTAATTTTCTCACTAGTTTGGTTTTGTTGCTTAAAATTTCGTTCTTGTTTGCTCCAAAAGCAGTTGCGATAATTTCTCCCTCCCGTTTCAAAAAATTTCCCAAATCTTTCCCTCTTTTAATTTCACTATGCTTCAAGGTTTTCTCTTTTCAACAATTCGGCTAAACTACCTTCTTCCCAGTGAATTCCTTTCGCTTCAATTACTTCAGGTGCGTTCTTTCTTCATCTGTTTCAATTTTGATCTAGTTTAATTACATTTAAGTATTATTCTTCTTCTCAATTTATTGCTCCTAGGCTGACTTTTGAGATCAGGGATTACGTATTTTCCGTAGCCCCAATGTTTCAGTTTAATGGTTTTTTATTCAATTATTTTCAGGCTTGAAGGATGACACGGGTTTTTCTAAAGGGAAGTATCCTTTTGGGCAAATCAACTTTAGAATGTCGCTACTCGTATTAAGGTGGTTTTTTCCTTTTCTCTTAACTCAATTTATTTTCTTTATCTCAGTAGCCATGGAATTTGTGATTTTCAATTGTAGTTTAGTTATTGCGTGAATCAGTAATAAATCCCTTATGGACAATCTGCCTTGGAATAGTCTTTCTTGAAGAATATGATTGAGTAAATCTTGTTAAATATATATGCTTCAAAATATATGAATACTTTAAACAAACGGTACCTTTACTATTAATCTTGTTAAAAAGCTTGAAAAGACCCATATATTAATCATTGTGCGAGAGCACATCGGAATTATTCAGACATAGTATTTGCTAATGTTATCTCTAACATCTCCATTGGGAAATCTCACGAAACTACATGGGCTTTATTATCTCTTTTACTTGCTAAGGTCTTACAGTGAACTTTAATCTTGGGGATTTTTGGGTAGATTAATTATTAGTATATCACTGATGCTTCATTTATTTTGAAAAAAGACAGGGAACTATAATTTTCTATATGGTTACTAGAGATAGAGAGCGAAGAACACGAGCCTTACATTGAAGCATCTCAAGCACAAAAGATGTATTATGTAGATGTGTTGTGCATCCATAGCCAAAAGATTGAATTTATATGATATGTTAGAAGAGATATGGAAGAAGAAATATACTAGAATGAGACATATCAAGAGCAAGAACTTGAACACTTTTTGGCCATGTGACGAGTATGTACAACTAGTTACCTATACCATCTAATTGATGATGTAGTAAAGGGAAATGTTATTACTGACTTATTAAATGTGTGCCCTATCTGAAGGTAACAACAATTAAGTAGTTCTTATTTCATTTTTTTTTGGTTTATAGGTATGGTTAGAATGGTATTCATATTTGGTTTAAAAGTATGTTTAGAAATGGTATTCATATATGATTCAACCCTTTTTATTTAATTCACCTCTTTTTAAATTTATGGTGTTCATGTATTTCCTTTAAGAGGATCTCTTACTATGAAGCAGTTCGAGAGACAAAAAGCTTTGTTGAAGCCAACTTGATTGGATGTTAATTTATGCAGATTTGGTTTAAAGGATTGTTGTGCTTGCATGATGACACCGAGGGGTAAGTTATGTTTCTTAACTCATCTCCTAAATTTTCAATTCTTTTACTTATTTTCCTAAATTATATCAAGTAACCAAATTTGTTTCATATTTGTAGTTGTTAGTTCCTCTAGAAATGAGATATTGAGGTAAGCTAGTAGTACATATTTTTAATTTTTTCCAGAAATGTTTTGCACTTTTTGTTACTTTTGTTTGAAGTTAGCTCCAAAAGATTTTGACTTTGGTGTGGTTTGGTTTAGTTTGATAAATTAATTATTGATTTATTTCACAGTTTCAGTATAGTGATATGTAGAGTGTATCTGCTTCACTCATGGGTGTAAGAGTATCATGAGGTAACAACAATAAAGATCACCAAGCAAATACATGGTACTTTTGTATATTTATTTATTGTTGACATACTCTAGATTGTAAAATGTTTAAGCTATCATATACCGTATGTGTTGTATAACTTTAGTTTAATATGAACTTGAATTTGTGGTGTTTGTTTGTTTGGATACTTTTAATGGAATTAGATTTACGGTGTATTTATTGAATTCTAGAACTAAAATTTTCAATAGAAAAGAAATATTCTGGCAGTTATAAGCTGCCATTTTTTTTTTTAAAGATTGAGATAGAAATTGTGGGGGTTTATAACTCCCCCGTAATATTTTTTTAAAAAAATTGAGATCATATTTGGAAGGTTACAAACCGTCACTGATAGCCTCTAAAAACCCCCACAAATTATAAATTGATTTTGTGGCGGTTGTCGTGGAGGTTCTTAAAAACTCTCACAGAAATGCTTGTGGCGAAGGTAACTGTGGCATTTTCTAAAACCGCCACAATTTATTTTGTGGAGGTCAAAAACTGTCACAAATCTTTAAATTAACCCCCACAAAACGAGCTCTTTCTTGTAGTGTTAGAGCCATATTAACACTACAAACCTTGATTTCGAGATTGCGTCACAATTTTCTTTTTAAAAACCAAACACAGAGCAATTGTATGTTAGAAAAGAATTCGAAGAGAAAAGAAAGAACAAATTGGATATGGCAACTGAAAGTCTGAAACTCGGATATTCCTAAACATTAGTATGTGAAAACAACAAGTAGCTAAGAGCAAACAGAGTATGTGTATCTGACTCTATCCTTCGGGCCATTTTTGACTATGCCAACCAATTACAACTAATACTGCAAAATCTTCTGTCCATTTTGGGTTGCTACCATATTTACTTTCTTTTCAGGTTGTTGCCTCGGTCAGAATATCTGAACTTGCACATATATTCTACTAAGAAGAATTATATATATTGGTTGCTATTATTATATGGTTGATCCAACTTGAAGTGATATGCTAAGGTTTAAAAGTAAGGGCATTCATAAAACATCTCATAAAATATGAAATCTTATGTGTAGATATTAACGATTTCGGGGCATTTGCATCTATACCCGCTTTTTGTGTCACATTTTAACTTGTGCCCGTTTTGCAAAACAAATTGCAAGCGTACCCGCTTTTTCTCATAACTTCAGCACACGGGGCTAAAGTAGCGAAGACAATCACGCAAAACTTTAGCATTCTAGTAGCCGGGCCTGAAGTTCAGCTCTGAAGTTTATGTGTTGTAATTGGAAAACTTCAGCTCTAGAGCTGAAGTTTTTGTGTTGTAAACTGGAAACTTCAGCTCCAGAGCTGAAGTTTTCGTGTAGTAACCGAGAGCTGAAGTTTTCGTGTAGTAACTGGGAAACTTCAGCTCCAGAGTTGAAGTTTTCGTGTAGTAACTGGGAAACTTCAGCTCCAGAGCTGAAGTTTTCGTGTAGTAACTGGGAAACTTCAGCTCTAGAGCTGAAGTTTTCGTGTAGTAACTGGGAAACTTCAGCTCTAGAGCTGAAGTTTTCGTGTAGTAACTGGGAAACTTCAGCTCTAGAGCTGAAGTTTTCGTGTAGTAACTGGGAAACTTCAGCTCTAGAGCTGAAGTTTTCGTGTAGTAACTGGGAAACTTCAGCTCTAGAGCTGAAGTTTTCGTGTAGTAACTGGGAAACTTCAGCTCTAGAGCTGAAGTTTTCGTGTAGTAACTGGGAAACTTCAGCTCTAGAGCTGAAGTTTTCGTGTAGTAACTGGGAAACTTCAGCTCTAGAGCTGAAGTTTTCGTGTAGTAACTGGGAAACTTCAGCTCTAGAGCTGAAGTTTTCGTGTAGTAACTGGGAAACTTCAGCTCTAGAGCTGAAGTTTTTGTGTTGTAACTAGAAACTTCAGCTGTAGAGCTGAAGTTTTCGTGTAGTAACTGAGAAACTTCAGCTCTAGAGCTGAAGTTTTCGTATTGTAACTGGGAAACTTCAACTCTAGAGCTGAAGTTTTAGAAATTCATAATCTAATGTCGACAATGCTTCTGCCATTGTTGCATATGAGGCTAAGACTAGGCTGAAGAGATCAAATAGTACATTTGATTTAGTTATCCAATCAAATACTGAAGATTTGCATATGAGCAAAGGTGGTGGATCCATTATATCAGAATTCTATAGTGCAGAATATAGGAGAAACAATGTAGTACCCAGCACTATGAGTGCTTCAGACATAGTGATTCCTATCACTTGCATGGAGCATAGCACAATTAGGATGGATAGCAGGTCCTTTGGCTATTCTCTTCTGTGCAGCAGTTACTCTTTTTGCAACATCCATACTTTGTGATTGCTATAAATCTCCAGATTTTGCAACACAGATTTATAGGAAGACAGTAGAAGAATTAATATTTTAAAATGCAACGGGATGGTTGTCCTCTTGCTTGACAATACAGTCAATTGCTTGTTTGCATATTTCAGCTATTTATTTCAGAAGAAGAAGAAAACGAAGTAGGAGAAAGAGGAGAAAGAGGGCTGAAGTTATTTAAGAAGTGAGTACAAGTTAAAAGTTTAAAAAAAATGGGTAATGGTTAAATGGGTGCGACCAATTTGGGCGCCCCGTGCAATTTTTACAACGATTTCCGACCGAAATCCGTCGAAAAACAAACCGTCCACCAAACCATCCACATTCAGTCGGAAATGGCCAAAATAAAATTTTTCCTTTTTTTTTAATAATTGAACCGACCAAAGTTGGTCGGTAAATTTAGCGTCAATACTCGAGAAATACAATTTGCGTATGTAATTTTCAACGTTCCGACCGAAGTCGATCGGTATCGAGTCAAGCTTTGACATTTGTGCAAAAATTAAAAATTAAATGGCGTAATGGCTTCCTGGCCACTTAAACTTGTATCGATTTGTAAAACCGATATATGAACTTATATTTTTCCCATTTGAACACTTCAACTTGACAGAGTGAACATTAATAAACACATTTAACCATTGACCAAGCCTATGTGGAAGTGGCACAGCTGACATGGCTAAATTGTGTGCAAATCACGCTGCCAAAGCGCGTGAATAGTTTTATTTCTATTAAAAAATATTAGAAATAGAATAAAAATAAATAAGAAAAAGAAAAAAAGATTTTTCTCTCTCCACTGTTCTTTTTCCCTCTCCTTCCACCTCTCTCATCTTCCCAAGCAAACTCCTATCCCCATCCTGTAAAAATTTTTATTTTCTGGTAGGGTTAGATGCGGTGGTTAGGTTTGCTCCATTTCACAGAAGTAATCCAACTTTACAAACCGGTATAATTTTCCCATGGAGCTTCAGGAGTAATCCTACTGTAGTTAGGTTTGCTCCATTTCACAGAAGCTTCAGTGCATTACTACAATGGTGAGAAATTCGTGAGCAAAGACAATGCATTTGTTGTCCACGGCGGCAACGAAGGAATTTACGCCTCTACTCCTAACTTCACTAATTCTTCTTCTTCCTCTGACTCTTTCATTCGGTAATTACTCTCTTCAGAATGCAATTTATCCAGATCTGTGTGAAAAAATTGTTAATTTCATATGCCAACAACGCTGGGCTTTAGTTGAGTGAAGCATAGATAGCTTTGTAAGCTTTGACTACTGATACTAATGGTTTCTTAGAGGTAAAATTTATGATTTTTTTTATGTTTGGAGATGATAATGTAACGTCAATTTTATTTAAATAATATAGGACCAAAAAATCCACATGTCATTTAATAAAGACCAAACATGTGACATGGCATCCATGTCAGCGCGATTGGTGAACATGTTCAACAGAAAGTGTTTATTAGTGTTCACTCTGTCAAGTTGAAGTGTTCAAATGAAAAAAATATAAGTTCATGTATCGGCTTTACAAACCGGTACAAGTTTAAGTGGTCAGGAAGCCATAACGCCAAGATAAATTAAATAATGTTTGACAATTTTCAACCGAAATCGGTCGGATAGTTAAACCTGGAAAATATTTTCCAGTTCACCGACCAATTTCGGTCAATAATGAAGTCAAACATTTGGTCAACCATGAAAAATATATATAAATTAATTTTAAATTACAAAAATAATAATAAATTCTGACCAATTTCGGTCAGAATCTTGTTTTAAATTTATATCTATTTTATTTCTCCATTTTTTCGAACGACAATGGTCGGTATATTTAGTTATTAATATTATTTTTATGTAGTATTAAATGCCTAACTCTCACTGCAGTGCTTTCTAAAAATGCAATGTGAATTGCGTGCCTAGGTCAGAAATGATGAAAATGGGAATGCTATGCAAGCGGATAATGTCCCGAATGTTGATCTGAGCCCACTGCTCTGATGAATAAGAAGTTACTAACAGAATGAAATGTACGAACTTAGTCAACCAGTCCATAATACCCTATACTGAGTCATATTTCTTCAAGGTCCGTGGCAAGTCTTCCACAAAATCTATAGCGATGCGCTCCCACTTTCACTCCGTTATCTCCCATCTCTGAATCAACCCTCCTGATTTCTGATGCTCATACTCGCCTGTTGACAATTCAAATACTAAGAGACATGACCAACGATATCTTCCATCATCTTCTGCCACCAAGAGTATTGTTTCAAATCAAGGTACATTTTTGTGACACTCGAGTGAATGGAATAGCACAAGCTGTGAGCCTCTTCAAGGATCAAATCTCTCAACCCATTAACATT